TAATATAAGTGTTAAAAGCATCCACCTTATTAAGATGTTAAAGATCCAGAAATTCCAGTCTAAAAAAAACCCATGTTTTTAACAATCGCTTAAAAGTTCCCAGTGAAGGAGCCAAGTGGATATTGGGTGGGAGCCTGCTCCAAAGTTGGGGGACGGCCACCGAGAAGGCTTGGTTTCTAGTCCTCACTTTCTGGACCTCTCTCGGCGTCAATAACCTCCCGGCCTGAAAGGATCTCATAGGATGGGCAGATCTAATCGGAAGGAGGTGTTCTGCCAGGTATCAAGGTCCCAAACCGTTTAGGGCCTTATAAGTTATCATCTGCAATTGAAAGGGGGTGAGCTGGAAGACATTGGCTGAAATCTTATTAGTTTGTTACCCATGCAGAAAACAAACAGCATAACATCCAGTTGTTCCTAGCCAGCCATTACTGTCACAATTGGGATTCTTGGGGGCTAGTGGGACTCATTAACTGCTGGCTAGGAATGAATGAACATTATGCCTTTTGCCCTCCATGTGTAACAAGATATCAGCCATTATTTGCATGGACTTTCAAGAAGCTTTTAAGAAAATTCATTTTCAAAATACAGTAATTGAATGAAAAGTGATGCTGGGTACTGTGGAACAGATTAACATGCAGTGTTGTCAATTCTTTTCCAAACAAAGTGCTGGAGTTGCCTCTCCTTTGTCGTTGTTGTTGTTTTGCAGACCTGCATGACAGACACACTCAGCACCCTTCCCTCTCTGTGAGACCACTTCCTCCTTGCCTCCAGCTCCTGCTGTTGTTCCTCCTCACTAACATAGCCAGCCCTATCATTAGGCAAACTGGAGTGACTGTCTTAGCTAGTGGATGCTGGTGAGACCAGCAGCATGCCAGCAGTTCCTCCTGGGCACCTGTGCCATTGGCCTCTGTTGAAGGGCAAAGCTATGTGTACCCTTTGGTTTGTTCTGCGAACCCTGAGCTAGCCAGCTGTCATCAGGAACAATAAAAGATGCTGTCTTGACCCGGTACTGAAGTAAGCCCATCCTGTTGACTTTTGATCAAAAAGTGGGGGAACATAATTGTCCTCCTAACTTCTGGCCACAAAATGTTGTGGGCTGCCTTCCTAGCTGTTCCATAATGCCTTGCCAGGGAAAGACCTGGCAGAGAAATGGTATCTAAGTAGAAGAAATAGCAGCAGTAGCTGTTTCCTCTTCTTCCTGTCATTATTTGCCTGCTCTACATCAGACAGAAAGAGGCAGGGAAGGAGCAAGCCAGGGACAAAGGTGAGGGGTGGAAGGAACAGGAGACTCAGAGGGTCCTGGGCTTTTCCCCACAGCAGAGATGTAGACCTCAGGGGGTGGTCAGCCTTACCAGCCTATGATCCCAATCCAGCTGAACTCATTCAAATATGTTTTTAAAACTCTCACAGTATCAGCTAGTATAAGCTCATGGCTTGAGAATGAAATTAGCTCAGATTTAAAAGGTTTCACTACCAAAACGTACTTCTACTGATTAGTCCTGGCATCTTTTCCTGCCTCAATTTCCCCACTGTTTTACCTGTCATAACCAAGATTTTATGTGTGCCCAAGGCCACCTCAATTCTTTTTTAAATGCAATTGAATTAACTCTATATTAAAAAGATGCACTTAAGAAAGCCAAATTTATTACACAAATTTTAAAGCATCTCTTAGAAAGTGATTACAATTGAGGTCCATTGTTTTCTGCTTTCTGTGACTTCTCAGGTTCTCCAATTAGATTCTTCCTGAGTGTAGTTACTCAAAATCTAGCCAATACAATGGAGTTCTCTCTCTCTCTCTCTCTCTCTCTCTCAGGTTCTCCAGTTAGCTTCTTCTTTTGAGTGTTACTCAAAATCTAGCCAATGCAGTGGAGTTCTCTCTCTCTCACACACACACACACACAATTTCCATAGTATATTTGTGCAATCCATTTTTAAGCTGACAAGCAATATAACACCACAATACATCAAATGGGGAGGGGAGACAGCCAGCTTTTATCTGTATTACAAATCTAGTCCTCTTCACCGAGTCAGATGAAGTCATTAGACACAGACTGGGATGGATTCACAACTTTTAGGTGTGCATATATATGCATTCCATGAAAAGAAAGAAAAGCTTTAGAAAGAGCTGTCATTTTGAACCCAATAATAATTACCTTACCACAAAGGATTTAATTTCTCCTATTGTTGGAAGTCTTCCCGTTGTCAGCCACTTGCAGATGATTAAGTTTTACAAAAAAATAGTATTGAAAAGTAGGAATGACATTGAAAAGCTGTGTGCCATTTTTCTTCAATCTGATTATAGAATGATTAAAAGCATGTTGTTTATCCTGAAAGATGACACATATAGCTATTGTGTTTGCTTTATTGAAATTCATCGTAATCTTAAACCTGCTATTTATTTCTATTTATTTATTTAATTATATGCTGTATTTCTCCTCATAGGGTACCTAAACCAAAGTGCTACTTTTTGTGTGCATTTCTGGAAGTGAAGACCTGGGTAAACAAGTAGCATGTAAGGAAGAGTCACCAGCAAAAAACGTGCCAGCTAAATTGTGGATTTTACTGTGGGTTGCTGCACTTTGCTTCAGCAGAATAGAAAGAAATGATTGGTGAAAAAAGAAAACCTGAATTGAAACCCCTTCCAACAGCAAATAGCAGCAATTCAGTCTTTGTAACCAAAATTTAGTGTTAAATTTTAAATTTTACATATTTAAATGCTGCAAGAAGACGACAAAATATGTCCCCGCCAGAAAATCACAGCCAACTGAGGGAAGGAGAGGGAGAATAAATTTTTAAGTAAATCTGCACATGGTGGCACTGTGGGCTAAACCGCAGAAGCCTGTGCTGCAGGGTCAGAAGACCAGCAGTCATAAGATCGAATCCATGCGATGGAGTGAGCTCCCGTCGCGTTGTCCCAGCTACTCGCCAGCTTAGCAGTTCGAAA